TTCCTTTTATGATAGTCTCGAATGGAGCGCATGCGTTCTGCCTACGATCACGTAGCCTGTGACGTTTTTTTCCTGACATTTGCATATGCATGAACTTTCTACTGAATTGCGTGTTCAATGTACTGTTAGCAAGAACCCCTTTTCTGCAACTGCATGGTTATTTGATTAAAATTTGCATTTTTGCTTAAGTTTCGCACACCAGTGTATTTCGGGAACAACACTTTAGAGCAATTTTTTTTTTTCTTACTTTGTCACACGATATTGTTATGAATTTTGTACTTAGATATGTTATTTTAGTAGAATTATAAGGAAAATTGTTTATTCCTTTTGTAACATAAAAAAACCTAACGGGAAGCTGTGCCGGAAAAGTAAGAATACAGAGGCAAGTGCATTTCACATTGAGTAAATGAGTGTCTCGAAAACTTGGCGAGAAATTGCCAAAAGTTGCCAAATTTGGCGACAATTTGGTACGATCTCTGCTTCACTGTAATATGTATTGAAATTTAATAAATGTAATTGACCACCGCTATGAAAGCTGCAACCCAATTCTACCCTCGTATTGCTTTCCAGTAATTTCAAGAAGCAGAATGCACTAGCAATATCTCGGCGGCCGGTTGAAATCTATTTAAGGCCGAAGAGAGAGCATCTGCTGTCAGTTGCTTAGTTGTTGTTGCGAGCTGTTTGTTCCGCGTGAACTGAGATATCCGAGTTAGCTTTCTCTTTAGATGCGTTTTGCATTGCGTTGTGCTTAACATTCTTAGTAGTTTGAAGCGTAACTTCAGATTGCACTTTGTGGTACTCTAAACACCTGTACGAGTATTTTTGCAGAAAATTCCAGAACTCTGAAGTGTTTCTGTTGATGAAATAAGTTTCATTAATCTATCATCGGACTTGTATGCATTCAATCTATTACTAACCCGCACGCAAGCAACAATTTTGGTTGCAGCGGTGGGGTTGAATGCCAGTGACAAGAGCGATGGAGAAGAAACAGACAGCTCGTGTTTGCCTCTGCTGCATTCCAAGAAAAGGTGAAAGGGGTAGTCAACCCCGTTAAAGATCAGATGAAACTAGCAAGAAGAGATGAAACTGCTCAAGATTCCGTTAAACAAAAGATGGAAGCTGGTGAAAAAAGGATTGAAGCAGGCCAAGAGGAAACGAAAAGAGAAATTACCTGCATAATAGAAAACTAATCTGAGCCTATGAAAGGAAGAATTGACGCTGTTGAAAATATAGTTGGACACGTTGAAGAAAGAGTTTCTTCTGTCAAAGAGCAAATAGAAGAGAAAGAGAGTTTCTGCTATTCGACAAATTCAACGTTTTTATAAATCGGGGTTTTTGCCTGTTATAAGTACGTAAAGATATTTTTCATTTTCTAAAAATAAAGTTTTTTTTGGGGGGGGGCATGCTAAATCTAGCGCTTTTAGGATTTCTTATGCTAGACATGAGAAGAAGCACAAAATCGAGACACACCCTACTCATTCACCAGGATGAATTCGAACTGTTAGTGCTTTGAGGCCGTACACATCCTGGTATGATTTCTGAATCTTATTAAATATTTTTATGAAGCAACTATCCCGCCATTTAACGATGTAACGCATTCTAAATAAGTTGCTATGGTACTGTATTACCTTGGCAACTTTATTTATGAAGAAATTATGCTCCATTTCTACTTGCTAAATAACATTCAGTATTCCAGTCCATAATATAAGTCTCATTTACAAATCAGTCTCAGTGTATATCAGTCTGATTTACGAATTGTTTACTTTTTCGTGTTGAAAACATATTTAAAATGAAGACTCTGACCAAAGAACTGAGTTAATGATAAATGTCTTCCGTTATGGGTCTGCAAGCAAACAATTTTATACAGAAAATATATATGCCCCAACGTTGCTTGTTGGCTACTGTTAAATGTTTTCTTCCTGTCTCTTATTACAAAGTTTACATTTTCAGAATATATTCAGTAAAAGATTTCTAAAGTGTGTCTTGTATTTTTCTTTATTTATTGCATTAAATTGCCTAAGAGATAGTATTTCTTAGATTGCTAAAACTTTAATCATGTTCGTAATGAGCTGAAATCAAAAGTACGTTTCTTCGCTAGAAGTATCAAACTCATGTACTCATGTATCTCTCTAGAAAAAATTGCTTGCGCATGATATTCCACGACAGGAAAGACCCTTAATGATATATCCACGGAATCCTTTATACAGAAAAGAGTTATTGATTTTTTGAAAATTTAAATGTTATCTTGTGACTATCAGGGAGATATCATGTTCTGTAAGTATGAAAATGAAATACAGGGTGAAAATTCTACGTTATAGCGAAGGCAATTTTTTAGGCGAGACATATTTGCCGCTAAATCCACAAATCCACAGAAGTGTGATATTTTTGATTGAGCTGCTACCAGTAAATGTTTTTCATGGAAAATATTTCCTAAACATGTCTTAAAATGTTAACTTCATTTTTATCCACGCAGAAGAAAAATAAAATTGTCTAGTTATAAAGTAATAAAAAATTAATATTTTATAATAATAATAATAGTAATAGTTATATTATCATAACTAATAAAGCATAATGATTTTGCTACGTACAATAACAATAAATTAATATGAAGCTCGCTCTTATTATAGAGTAATTACCTTTAACTTACTTTTGAAAACATGTGCTTTTGTATATGTTTATGTTTTCCCTTAGAAAGTCCTCCACGAAGGCATCCCTCCCCTTCGGCAGATAGCCCTCGAGGCTTTGTCATAATTAAATAACCTAACCTAACCATTTTCTTTGTTTCATGAAATAAAACCGTTTTACAAGAATTATAAGAGAATTTTAAAATCCCCCAAAATTAAGAAAAGTCCCTGAGATAGCAGGAGATAAACAAGGCCTTCTGTTAGATATAAATAGAAAATTTCCTGAAGAAATAATTACTCCATTAAGTTTCCGGAACTAAATGAATTACTAAATAATGAAGGTCATGAAAATAGGAATGTTTCAGGTCTTCTTATTTCTTTCATAAATCTATGGCTTTCAAAATCAGCAGCAGATTGTACAACACCAGGTAAATGTTTGATAATAAGAAGAAAAGCATGTCGATAAATTCGGCGCTATAAAGATAATTCTTTACGCTATTCAAAGTAACCTAAATCAAATTTGTAATAAATAAAAGTTATATACTCAGTATTAAGTGAGTGAGTCTCGTTAGTGGTGAGTTAAAAATAGATAAATATCCTTGCACATCGTTTTCTACATGATATAATCGCGTGCATACCGGTTCGTAATGGACTGAATGAAGGCAGAAACGGTGATAGCTTCATCAAATATGTTTTACCCTACCCCAATATATATATATAATATAATTCTGGAACTTTCCACAAAGTACACGTTCAGCTCTTCTCTGTAGAATGTTCTACGCAATCATTAGTAGTTATGACTTCAAACTACAAAAAACGTTAAACACACCGCAGTGCAAAGCGCATTTAAAGAGCGAAGCTTCGCACAGAAATCTCTTAATATTACGAAGTCAACTTTGAACTAAAAACTGAGAACTGATTCTATTTTTTGTCTTATATAGTTTTCCCCCGGCCACTAGAAATTTTCAGTACCTTCTTTCTCGAAATTTCTGGAAGGTATACACGGTTAAAGTCATATATGAGGGCCACATACGGTTAAATTTACAAACAAGCATCAATTACAGTACCATAAGCAGTTGCACAGGTATAGGAACAAAGTGCAACCAAATTTGGCTACTTTTGGCGATTTCACGCTAAATTTCACAACAAAAATTATTTTCCAAATCCATCGCCAGCTTGATGATATCTCGCAAATTTAGCGAGTTAGCCTCATTATTAAATAGACTTGCCCAAATAATTTTATTTTTCTGAAAAAGTTTCACTTTTTTGAGGCCATTTATACAAAATTTAAATAATTCATTCAAATAAATTATACAAAATTTTAACAAAATTTTAATAACTCAACTATGCACATTACTTAGTACAGTAGTACTAAGTAATGTGCATAGTTGAGTTATTAAAATTGCATTTTCCAAACAAAGTAATTTCTAAAATAATTATATGTTTTCCAGCTTGCAAATTATTGCGACGCATATTGTGTGTATGCTCCTTTCTCTTCTTTATAGCTTCTCTGAATATATTTTTTCTCCATAAAAAGAAGTAAACAGAAACTATAGTTAAAATCATATTTTCAATGTGAAGTATGCATCAATGAAATAAACATTTATTTATATGAAAAATTATTAATATATGCACATAATACTGAAACACAAATTCTGTTTTTATGAATTTAAAAACATAAATTAATGTAAAATCAATATATAAGACGAATTTATGAGACGTAAAATGTACAAAATGTAATGCACTATGCACAAAATTTTAACAAAAGTGAAAATAGGATGGCTTTTGTAAAATGTACATCAAAGTCACGTCATGTAAGCATGTTCTATAAAATTCTAAAAATCAGTGCGAACTATTCACCTAATTAACATTTTTGATAAAACTTTACTTTATATGGAGGGTATTTCCGGGTTTTAAAAAATATATAAATTCTTTTCTTTCAATTCGCTTTCTCAACCTATTCATCGCTTTCATTGTTCTTTTGCTTTTGGAGGTGACATTTTTTGCTATGCTGTCTTCTTCTTTGCTCTTGATTTTCTTTAAAATGGCAGTTTTTGGTGACGTGTTAATATGTTCTTGTTCTCGCTTTAGATATTTTATTATCTAAAATATTATTTTCTTCCGATTTTGAGTAAAATATGCTTAATATCCAAAGCTGTGATTTATCAAGACTTTTATAATAGAAAAATGTGAATGCCTTCAAAAACGTGCTTAAACAGGAAAAAAAAATAAAATGAATCACCAGAAAATATAACTTTTAGGGAGGAGAAATCAATTTTATTTGTCTGTTTCATTTCAAAGAGTGCTATGAATTTTAAATTTTATATCCTTTACAAGTGAAAAAAGCAATTTATGCTCTTTCACATTCTCTATCAGGCACTATCTTGGAAGACAAGCCAGTGAAACAGGATTACCAGTGTCTCTTGGATACGCCATTTTCCTTGAAAACGTGGTTGAGATCCAACAAAGAAGCCATCGACAAAGAGGGCAAAAAGCGTCTATTTGAAGGAAACTACATGTCTCGGGTAAGACATTCGAATCACACTCTGGGAACAACGTATCTTTCGTCTATTCTTGCCCTTTAACTGCAGAAACGGAAGTGAAAGAACAGCATCGCTAAAAGCAGCAATCGTTGCTAAGGCTTTACTATAACCCCAAAGCTTTATTTCTGGTTACTGTATGTGAATTTATTAGCCTTGTGTTATGTAAGTGATAAAAAATAAGCAATAGTTCTTATATTGTTATACTTAAGGAAATAAATGAATGGTACTTTCTCTTTTATTTTATACTTTTTAAAATCTCTATTTTGTATAGTAGTAGTTTGCTAAGTGAATTAATATTATTTTCATCTTTTAATTGCCTGGAGACTGATATAAACTTTAATTTATAGATGTTTTTAGACACATATCAGGTTAAAGAGGCATAATGTAAAATAATTTATTAGTACCATGATATACAGAACAAAATCCATACGTGCTACCTCCTGTTAAAGAGAAAAAAAAATTCCAAATTCCAAATTTAGGCTTTCAGATGCACGTTTTAGATTTTTCACAATGCGAGAAATATGCATACATTTATGCAGATTTTCCATTATTTAATTTCTTCAAATATAATGCAGGACTCTACCATTTGGTGGCAACAGTTTGAAAAGTGAAACGGACATTTATAGTGAACCAACGCAAAATCGCAAAACGAAAACAATAGTCCTTCAGGGACAAAGCCCCTTTGGACTAAAAAAGACAGTTCTATATTTCCCGTTCTACTGGTCCGATTGACGAAATTCAGATCGCGTCTCGAAAGCGCAACTTGGGGTATGTATTAGATTTATATATAGCATTATTCTAATATAGATATTTTTACACAAAATCGGACTTTCTCTGAAATGACAGACCAATTTGTTTCCGTATTTCAATTTTATGACTCAAATTATTCCAAAGTGCCAAGTTCTGTAGAAATCGCACGAATAGTTTTTTAGAGCTAATGTTTTACATTAGCTAGATGTATTTTAGGTACACTTGACCAAAAAATTAGAGTTTTTAATTCAACATTTTCTAAGATACACATGAATTTACATATTGCCGCGTTTTGGAATTTGGCATATTTGTTATAAGCGATAATAATGCCAAATGTGGTTTACGCACTTTGTTAAAATTATTTGAAAGTATGAACGATGACTTGTATTTCGTTCCTCTGCAATGCAAAAAAATTAAAAAAAATAGTTTGCTATACATTAAGAAGTTCGCTAAGTCTTGACGCAAACTGAAAAAAATGCGTCAAATTAAACTTTTAAATTTCTCCATAAATTCCGTATCAAATCTTACAAAATGTAGTATTTAGGAATAATTGGAGTCTTAGAATTGAAACATGAAAAAAATTGGCATGCCATTTCAGAAAAAGCCCGATTTTGTGTCGAAACACCAATATTAGAACAATGATATACATAAATCTAGTATATATCCTAAGTCGCGCTTTTGAGACATGAAAAACGCAAGTTGAATTTCGTCAATCGGCCCAGTAGAACGGGAGATATAGAACTGCCCCCCCTTTTTTTCTGCAATGTACCTTTTTAAATTCAGTTTGAAAGAATGCGAGTTGTTGCTGTTTTAACTAATGCTCACTTGTCTGACCTATAGTCAGCCCAAGCAAACGAAGATCACTTTACAGGTGACAAGGAGTACAAGATACGCCTTGAGCACCTTGCAGGTGACAGTGTGATTTAGCTCAGTTCCGCCCCAAAATTTAACTCTACAGAGCACCCCGAGAGGACGCGTCCGTGAGTCTCCCACACCCCTTTCCCTACCCCCAACTTCTAGAGACGACTTTCGGTTCACCGTATTTTTAGAGTCTCCCCGTGCCGCATAGACACTATACATTTACAAACATCAATGCCTTATCCGTAATTCGAACCCGTGTCCTTCGGCACGGCAGTTTGCGACCCTAATCACTATACCGGTTGGACGTCCTGAGTACAATATTTATTGCATTCTGTATTCGAAGGGTCATGACAATATATCCATCTTAATTGCACTCCTTATATTCTTCCTAATGACCGGAATGATTAATATCGAAATTGTAATGGCTGAATATTTAAACTCACAAAGCTAAGAATCTGTACTACTAAAGATAATTAATTATCTTGCGTCGGTTGCATCGGTTTATTTTAAGATGTTCTTTTTATGAATACCTTTATTTTTAATTAGGCTATCCTGATTGTTTCAAGCACTCAGAATAAGCTAATAACATTTAAAAAGATAAAGGAAAAAAGGCCTTCTCTTCCTCCCTTTTTTTGATGCAAAACAAAAAAATAAATGAATAAATAAATGAGATGGAAAATGTTTATTATTATTGTTATCTTAACATGCTTAAATATCCCTTTTCCCAAAGAAACAAAAGACGATCATTCTGTTGGAAGATATTGGAGTAGGGTTCATTTATGCGGCCAATCAAATTCCAGAAGGGAATCGTCATAGTTGTAACTGTGCCCCAGGCATTTGATGCGTTATTATTATTTGGATAAATCTATTAGGGAAAACTCCAATAATGCTACATCATTTTGATCAACGAGACAGTCCTTATTCATTTGGAAAGATTAGCAAGCAAAGAGGTACAAGTGAATTGTGTAGAACATTGAACAGTGGTGGAAACTTTCCTTTGTAGCCCTAAGGAAATTTCATCGATCACTGCCTAAATATTCGTGATGTAATCTGTGAAGCTCGATGCTTCTATGGCGGTTTCCAGTTTATTTTAATGTTTAGAAAGGAAAATAATGGAATGCAAAATTTCTATAGTTTAAATCATGGAACGTTGCTTATGGCATTTTTGTCTTGCTGAATTGTTCGATTTCATTTTGACTTAAATGAAAGCTAAATTCATTAATTACAAATATATAATTGCAGCCTATTTGTTCTCGTGATGCATAAATTTGTTTGCATAGTTGCCTCACTGACATAATAACACTTTTCTTGCATTAATACAATTTCTGAAGTAAATTGTTTGCATCAGTATTTCTCAAACTTTTACAAACCGGGACCACTTTTATAGATTAGGATACTTCGCAGACCACTTACTCTTTCTCCTTTCGAAAGCAATTTTTAACACATGCTGTTAGTAGTGTTTTCATATCTTTAAAATGTATTTAATTATAAAAAATATCTGAAAGGTTTTAGATTTTATATTATAACCGCAGGGGCATTTATTTCATTTACACATACATACACCTTTCGAGAGCATCTGGGATAACGCTCTTTAGGACTAAAAATATTTAAAAACAGCATATCTTTAGAATTTCCGATAAACAGTCTCGTGCTCTGGAGATACAAATTTGTTATTCCCTACAGTGTTGCCACTGCTCGCTTTGAAATTGTTGAGTTTGTTGAAGACAAATTTGTTAAAGTTTAAAAAATCTGAAATATACAATAAAAAAATTCGGAATTCAAGATTCGGGCGTCCAGGTGCCCATATTCGAATGCAGGACTACGTTGTTCAAAATTTGATAGCTCTAGGTACCGTCGTTTTTTCACTGTGCGAGAAGTATGCATACATTAATTCAGATTTAATTTCTTTAAATGTAATAGAGGGCGATAATATTTAGATACAACAATTTGAAAAGTGGTAAAACTAGCCGTAGTGATTCGAAGTTTCACATTTTTGAAAATGTTTTCAAAATGCTGTTTCGAGACTAATAGCTCTTCTGGGCTAACGCCCCTCTGCGTTAAAAATTCATTTAATTTTATATTGGCATTACATAATTAAGTTAAAATTTATATTTGTTTATAATAATTCCAGACTATTAGAGTTTAGATAATTTTTACCTTATTAATTAACAATTAAATAAATGTTCGTGCTGTTTTTAATGAGATAGATGAGTCTGCCGAATTTTGCATAATTGTTGTACGTCTGAATGTACGCTGATATGAAATACTGTAATTTCAGTGCTTTAAATCCCTCTATTGTTGTTCCTACTGGAGTTGGAAGTTTTATAGATAGAGTGGCTGGTAATAAGTTTCATAAACTGTCAGTATTGAAAGAAAAGGTGATAGATGATTGCCATCTGTAATTTCCAAACACTGATATTTTCAGCTGCACTGTGGTATTCGCAGTTATTTTGAATTTTATTGTTCGTGTTTTTGGAAAGCTAGGATTACAAGAGCAGGTTGCTAGGGCCACTTGTAGTCCGCGAACCACAGATTCATTTTCTAGTACTACGGTAATGTTCTGGACTTCCAGAATTTAAATCTTGCTTTACAAATATACAATTTTTATTTTTTTTTACAATTGCATTGAACGGAAGAATCTTAGTTTAGGTCCTTATAAATGTTTACATAATTTAATTGAATAAATTATTTTTTTAATACTCGTATTAAAGTTAACCATTTTAAAACATCTGCATCTGCGTAGATGCAATGTACTGTATAAATGTAGATAATGAAATGGATTTGATTTTCACACACATAAATTTATATTCCATATTTTGTGTTAGATAATGGTCAATCATTACATACTGACAAAAACAGTTAATATTTTGAAATACAAAATTTAGCTATGCTGTCAGAATGCTTTTATTTAGATTCCATTGTATGGATGCTTTTGGATTTACATTTTAGATTTTGAATTTTTATTTTAGATTTTATGCCGAATTTATTTCTACCGGATCAGATCAAAGTGCTTCTTTTATAAAAGTTGATACTATAAATTATTAGTACCTAATTTTGTTACCAAAAGTTGTAAATAATTACAATGTCATGCGTTATATCGTAACTTATTACATGGATGTTTTAGTTTAATACATGAATAATTGTACAATTAGTAATTACACTACCTGGTTGCTTACGCTCATCCGCAGTCTATTTCTTATTTACATATAATGTATTGTAAAGAAGCTAAAATATTTTAATTCGAAATTGCACATGGAGGTTTCTTGTTTTGTTTAAAATTAGAGCGTTGTTAAGAAAACTTTCTTAAGATTAAATGACTTAAAACCGAAGAAACAATTGCTATTAATTTATTTATTTATGGCTATTTTCAA